ACTTTGATTTCTTGTCTGCCATAAATGAGTTTATGGGCGTTTTGCGCAAAATGTCAAAAGATATGTGCAAATTTACCAGCGGAAAATGAAGTTTTATTTGCGCGTTGTTCCAAATTGTGGTAACTGCTAACTTCTCAATGACCGGTTGTCGTTGCGCATTGAGACGACTGAATTGTGCCCAAAGTTGGCGTTTTAATGCATAACGCGGCCACCTACCTACAACGCGTTAGCGCTTTGAGAAAACGCGGTGTTTTTTTAAATGCGAAAACCAGGTTTAAAAGGTCGTTGGAACCGAATGAGTCTGTTTTTACTTCAGACGCTTATGAATGGAGCCAAAAGACTTTGCTTAGTCTTTTTCCACTTTTAAGCCACAAAAAAAATTGGGAATTTGTTCGAAGTATTCGACTTGACCGCCAGATCGTAACGCACGCACGTACGCACGCACGCAAGCACACACAAACGCCTGCAAAGCAGTCAAAAAATCAATGGAAAATCGATATTACGTTAAATTAACGGCTTTTAGCATGCGATTTTGAGCTTTCTCCTCAGAGTACATTTAAGTGTTGAAACATCGTGCATAATTTTTTACTCCGATGCCTGACATCTTTGGTTGCATAGTGACTCGTTCAAGGAAAGTGTTTTGGCCACGGGCACAGATTCTTGAATGAAGAAAAAAAACATTGTCTCGTTCTCTTTTTAACTTCGAAAAAAAAATGGAGTCCTCGTGATTCTGTTAGGAAAAAAAGCAGCTTGCGAATGGCAAATAACGAGGTCTAGGTGATATTTACACATGATCAAGCGAACATGATAATCCCGTGCTGGCAACTTTGGGAAGGTCGTTTAACACGTACATTTTCATGCAATGCCACTGTAGATATCATGATGTTTTGATTGGTAGAGAGTTTGCAGAATTTTCACCTAGTTGTTTTAATCCTAGTGCCCGTTGAGCGCCACTCTTAAGATGCTCACTAAAATGAGCGAAATTCTTGCAGCTCAGACGTTTTTGTGTGTACTTTTGTTCTCTATCGAAAATTTGTATAGAAGTGTCTTGTCGACCGTAAATTGACTTCTAATTTCACTACAGCTCAAATAGGCTGAGATAGCTGCCACCCCAATGTACGAGCTACAAAGACGTCATGTTACGCAGTCCCCTGTGCAAAATATGTCTTTTTACAAGCTGGTGTATGACTTTCTATTTCTATAATATGACGAAAAGGTTGTCAGCGGCTTACGAGGTACAACCTTGTTTCCGCTGTGTGCGCAGGACTGCCGATTGTCGTGGGATTTTGTTAGTTATAGAAGCAGAGAACCACATTATAACCTACTACCTACCTCCTAACGTATCCACGGTCCAAAGACTAATGTACCAGGAATTAGTCCAAATTTGTTCCTTCATCAAGACTCGACCGTCGAGGGTTGTGAACAGCATCAAGAAGGTGTAAAAATTGCTCCTGCTAGAGTTGTTGGTCAAAGAAGCAGTTTGTGGAATTCCAGTAGGCCTCATGTCATTAAAACCGTACATTTCAACCTTTATTCACTCATTACCTTCCTGTTACTAACTGAGAAGAGTCGAATTATAATAATGATAGTCCTTTGATATGAAACCAAAAATTGAAAGCGTAACAGGAGACTTTGGAACAACATGGAATGTTGAAGAAATGTAAGACAACCTGCTTACTCCATTCGATGAGGCGCATTCTTCTCTCCGATTCCATTACACGCTGAGACTTTCTCGTTTTTTTCGCTTCCTTATATTGATTTATCCGTTGTTTTAATTGTGACTTCCGTGGAGCGCTGCTTGCGATTTACTGGCTAGACAAACAAAACGCACATAGCTCCAACATGGATTCAGCGTGACCAAGTTTCCTAGACAGTCATTGTTTACGCTAGAATTGTAGACCAAAAGTAAAGTCGCGAATGTGTTATGTTTGCCGTTAGCAGAGTACGCCCAATTTCAACCAGCTTAAAATCTTCCCACACCCATTGTTTTGTTTTAATCGTAATAGATTTAGCCATACATGAATGCTGTTAAAGAATGAGGGTGTATATTTGTAATTCATGATTGTTACTTCAATCATCGCATGTAGCCTCAAGTGACAAATCACTTATCGATCAGCTAATGCCTTTTTTAAAAACCCCGCTTTTATCTGTACCGATTTTGGTTGGCCACAGACAGCAAAATCATTTTTTGACTACGTGATCGTCAGTTAGGACTGTGTGTGTATGTAATGTTTTGCCCGCTTTCTGTTTGTCGGTATGTGGGGTTGACTGAAATTGCGGTAAGTTAACACAAGGCACCAAGCAGGGGCTGACACAGTTTGGTATTTTGGATCGTTGTTTATGCCTTCTGTTGGAGTTTTTACAAGGTCAATAAAATTCACACTTATGCGCACTCGCACAGCATCGAAATAGTAGGCAGAAGCGAAATCAGTAAAAATTTTGTCCATGGGTAACTGATTTGTACTCAAAAGCAGTTCGGTGGTTTCTTTGCGAAAAATCAATAAAATCATGTCTGCCTGCGCTCAAAGCTCATTAAAACGCAAAAGGTGCAAGAAATGCCTGAAAGGAAGAGTAGCAGACGTGTTAGGTACCGTTAAGTTGAAATATGCGTAAAATTCATGTGATACATTAGTATTTCTCAACTCGTTGTGAGAAAAGATGGTAAGCACAGCATTTGGGTTTTTCACGTCGATCGCCATTGGCTAAGCACGCTTTGAGTGGGCTCTCTGCTGTATCAGCTGTCAAGGTCGTCCTAGGCAAAATATCATTGGATGCAGTGAATAAGTTACTAGTAATTTTAGACTCGCGACTTCAAATATCTCTCTTCACGAGATTTTCTCCCATCGATCAGCACATTTGTTCGGGTCACGGTTAATCATTGCTTAGACTTCAGGCACGTCCACTCTGTGACCAGAATATCGACATTGGATGCACAAAATGTCATCTAATGATAAGTAATTCAGAGTTTGACAACGAAAAAAGAGAGAGCTGATTGTAAATAAGTAGAAAGGCGTACTTCACTAAATTACGATAAACTGAAAAGCTTAAGTTGATGGTGAAAAGCAATATTAGCAATCAACAGTAATATCATTAACCGATTTTTTAATTTCTCCTGCGATTTCAGGTAAGCAGTAGTTTTTTTGTTTGAATGATGCACTTGCAAGCAGTCTAGTGTGGACAAACGGGTTAACGGAAGCCAATCAACCATAAGGAAACACAGCAGTCTCCCAATCAGCTTGTACAAGGAATGTTAGTAACCGGAGGTATGCTTTAAAGGAAGTCAGCTACAAATCAAGTGCTCAAAGGAGACGTGGTGGTGGAGAGGAAGTTTTAACAAAAGAGGCAAAAAAGGCAAGTTGTAATACATCAAATTAAAGAATCGGGATATGTCACGTTCGTGACATCAGTCTGTCAATAACTTCTTAAAAAAGAATTCTAGCCTCATTTTAAGAAAGCAAAATTTATGTTTAACCAGTACCCGACAAAAATTAACGATTCTTGATGGAGCCAGGATGTTGGCAATAATATTCTACTTTTGTTTATTTCAGTAACAAAAAATTAAAAATATTAAATGAGACCGACCTGCAGTTGCCAAAGCTTAAACAAGTTCATAGGCGCCACATGTAGTGTCATGAATTTGTCAAATTCTCAAACTTTTAACATAAATTAATTCTTAGCTTGATCAAAAGGATTTTAGCCATGATATGTGGAAATAGCAGGACACCTCCGGCGCTTCGTTTAAACAGATATTGGCACAGTTGATTTAGTTTATTTTGTGTGGATATGACGCATGTTGCCATATAGTGGTACCAAATAAAAGGAAAATTAAACGACAATTAAATCAGGAAACTGAAATTCCCGTTGGTGGCCAAAGTTTAAATGCCGGATTGTGTCGCCTTTGTTGCAACTCGTACATAAGTTATGATTTGTCGCAATTAACTTATTGGTTGCTTCATTCTTGGTTTAGAACATTTGTATAGCAATGTTTTATCCCTGAAGCTTAAAATGAAGTATATTACAATATGCAAATAAATGTAGAAAGTACCAAAAGTTACGATGAGTACTATTACATTAATATAAAACACAAAACCGAAACAGAAGAACACAAATAAAGCAAGGAATGTAATAGGTTTTGTGGCAGCTGGCAGAGTAGAAAAATATATTGAAAAAAACATTGCACTAAAAGTTGTACACATATCTCTATAAATCATTTTCCGAGTTAGTAGATAGCTAAGATAGGTACAAAAACATAAACTTTTTACATAGTTATTCAGGTAACTTTGGTGTTAGTCAATATAAATGAAGTAAAACTTAATGCTAAGCAACAAATATTAATTTTCCACTTATAAGAAGTAACATTTCAAGTCGCAAGGATGGCAATACAAAAATCTGACATCATAAATTCGTCGCAGGTCTAAAGGATTAAAAAAGCCCTAAATGCAGCCAAAATTATTCAAAGGTCAAATTTAATGCATATAGATCAGAGAACGCATAGGCAACAAGTTGCCAATAAGTTATTGATAAAGCATAAAATTTTAAACGACAAAAAACAGAAAGTTAAAATTAAACAAAAGTATTTGTACAGGAGCAGCAAAACATATGCATAAAATGTTATTAGAGACACATTTTCTTACAATATTTGTACCTCGCGTTTATGGTGCATACGTCACAAATCAAAAATCAACATTTTATTGCGCAAGCAATTACTCGGACTAAAAAACAACTCACTTGTTTGTAAGGTTTAGAAAAAGGTGTTAAACCATGCAAATAAAATCAAATTAAATGAAATTCCAATAAATCCATTCGTAAACATTTTTCATTCGATCGTTTTTCTAAGGTCTCAATAAGTTGAAGTATTTGAAATGAGTTTTTGTAGTCGTTGTGCTTATCTGTGATCTCAGTGCGTTTGCGTGTGAAAATCTTCTAACTATTATCAGTTTAATTGTTGTATTTTTTGCGTTGGTTTCTTATGTTCTATACTCCCATTGACCTGCGTAATTATGACTCGGGTCTATCCTGCGTTATGGTTCAACGGTAAATCCCCAAAACCCTCGAAACCTCGTTACCTAGACCTACTACTAGACAGTATGCTTTCCTTGAATTTTGTCATGCAGGGGTGTACTCTCTGCTGAATTTGTACATTGGGCACATTTTGACATTTGAGATTCGTTAGTTTATTGCGTAGTCACTTTAAAAAATTTGCTGTCTTGAAGGCTCTCCTGTTTACCACGTGGCTTGGTATACATTAAGTAGAATCACATGCAGGGTCGTTATTCCCTACTTGCACCAGAAGTTTGTTCATTCTCTGTATCCTCAGGAACTCGGTCCTTAATTTGGTTTCGCAAATCCTAATCCGATGTAGGAATTTAAACCTATTTGGTTTCATCATGGATCTTTTGCTCCTGTTAATTGTGGAAGGTAATGCATATAGCTCCAAAAATCTGTTGCAATTACGAATATCCGTCTTTGTTTTATTTAAATCTTTTAGCGATGGATGCCAATCTCGATCACGTAGAAGGCGTTCCAACTCTGGCAGAAGGTGAGGACATTGACTCGGTTAGCACAGACTTTGACGAGTCTGAGCCCTCTCCACCTGTTGTCGTCGATCGGTATGGTTTTAGCGGAGGCCAGCAATACACAGACCCCAACAAGTAAGTCATATTTCCGCCATCACCCATATTTCTTTAGTGAATTCCTTCCCCCCATTGATGTCTTGCGTGCTCGTGAAATGAAATGGCTGATGATGTGTCGAAACTGGGACTACTGGTCTTCCACGGGTTTGAAGAAGCTTCGAGAACGTTGTCGCAAGGGCATACCCGATTCGATGCGAGGTGAGGCCTGGCAAAGATTGGTAGGCAGCGCAGTGACTAAATATCGTCAGGCTGGAATCTACGTCGCTGAATCTGTGGAGGAGCCACAAGTAGTTCCTGCTTCCCGAAAGTTCTTCCGCAGCGCTTCCCGCCTCAGTGGATCTCGAAGTCTTCCTACGGTAGTCGCCAATTCCCCCAAAACCAGCAGGAATCCCATTCTTGATTCCCCGTGAGTGTGCTTCACACATGATCTCCTTCTTGCACCTTTGGGGTTGCTTTTGCCAATGTGTCATAATTTCATGCGCCTTAGGTTCTTTCATGTTCTCAAATTGCTTTACCAGCGGTGAGTTATTTGTTTAGTGTGGTATTTAACGCAACTTCAAACGCCGCCTGTTGCTCCTAATTAGGCTGCCGCTTCTCCAAAGCATCGCGCCTCGAACTAATCTTATTTAATCACTTGCGTCTGTTGTATTTAAATACGCGATCCTCTGGCCGACTCCCTTGCCTTTGCTGTAATTCGAAGCTAATCATGACGTGAAAACGCATCTAACAGACTGTCAGTGTTTTCTCTGTTTAATCCCCAAGAAATAACAATCTCGCATGGTCATTGGTAAATCGCTGTGTTGTATTTTATGGAAATTGCGCAAATGACTGCCGGAAATAACATGGCTGAATACTGTTTCTGGTGTTGTAAACGTGCGCGTACCACAAAAAATTTACTGCAAGTGAACAAATTCGAAGCAGATATTTCAAGTAATTTTCGTCTGTAGTATACCTGGCCAGTTCCTGTATTGTTGGCCGTCCATTGCATTTTAATGTGTGTATGCCTTTTCGATATGTACGCTTAGTAGATGAAATATTTCCTTGGTAAAAAGTTCGTTTCGTGGCACCAGTCGCCCTTTATCAATACGCCGTCTGTGTCCTTTCAAACAAAGCTTTATTTTCCTCCATTTGCGCGATAGATTGTGTACCGGGAATTTACAATTTGTGCGTATTTTCCGCCCAGTTGTTCACCACTCTTTCGTACCACATTCAATTGCCAGCACTGACGAAATCACGCACTTTGTAGTCCTGCCAGTCTTCTTCACTCAAAAAAATGTAAATTGTGTTGTCTGGCCGACTCAACGTCATGTCGAATTCCCAAGAGAGGGGGTGATTGTCACTAATCCCAGTCGGACGAATGAAGGCCACACATCGATTAGCATGACCTCTTAATAGCTGGAGGTCATTTCTACACAGCTAACACAGTCACCGTGGCTAGTGTGACGGTTGTAGACAGACGATTGAAAAAAGCGCGTAGTTTTCAAGCTACATTGATAAATTAATTTCATGTGAAAACACTGACCTCTCGTGAGCGCACGTGTAGTTCAGTGCTAAGGGCGTGACGAATGCGACAATGTTCTGAATGTAACCCCGATTTAACGTAAATTCGCATTAGTGTAATTCCTGATATTCAACAAGTAAATTGCTTGTTCTTTTTCACTTCGAGCCCTGCAGCATTTTCAATTTAATGTCCTTTTCGCAGATGGTAGACTATTGTGCGTTTGTAATGAAAGTGCTAGCCACAACGAAAACGCCCTTTTAGCAGCGCTGTCCACGCAGTTCAAAGGTCAACTGAGTTGCCGCGTCGCTGCGTTTACTGTTAAACCGGCAACAATTGTGTCAGCCGGTGTGCAAAACCAGACCACAAACGCACAACCTGTTGCCGTGGATGGGTGCATCCGGCTCTCACGAAGGCACCTAAATTGTTGGCACAATCTGAGTGTGCCACAAATCTTGGCATGCAGTGGGTAATTAAGAGCGCAATTTAATGAGTGACCTAGTTTAGCCCACTTTGATGTATGAGGTTCACTATTTTGAAGTCCGAAATGCTCCCGCTTTAGCCCTCATCTCCCGTAGGTTCAGATGTCCGCCTAAGCGTGCCCTCGTCCGATTTTCTCGCCGAGCGAACTCCCCTTTCTCATGCTCTGGAATTTGTTGATTATCGGCGGGATTGTAGATGTGCATTTTGCGGCGTTGTACACACTTCACCGTGCAGCATGTAGTGCCCATGTGAGGCTTCCCATTTGGTGCTTCGCTGTGTTTACATTTCGATGTTTATGGGGCGCGAGCGACTTCAGTTTCACCGAGTGTTCGCCCGCTCAACCCCGTTTATTGCCTCGAAGAAACTGGTTTTTTTTTCACCTCAAAACACGTCATATCGATCTTCAACGAGTTGACTTCTTCAGGCCCAGAATCCATCCAGAAAACCTAGGTCTCGTCCAGCTTGCCGTTGGTGGTCGGTATTTCACTTCAAAGCCAGCCGTACCAATCTTCAACTAACTGGAGCTAGGCGGTGTTGCCTAGTCACGGCGCTATCGTGGTCTACGGGTGCATTCCTAGAATCTGAGTTCCAAAAATCACCTAACCGCCACCACCATCACCACCACCCTCCTTCAATCGCCTCAGCCAAAAAACGTGGACCGGGTTGCATGGTGGCTTTGCTCCCACGCTGCGCTGCTAGCGGCCGGTGTTGGCCGCACAGTCCTCCTTTCGTGCCACATCTGGTTTTCGCTCGAAAATCGTCCTCTCCGCCTTTCGGCACGGCAAATTCAAACACAAATCGGGTTGTTAGGTGTGGAGTTAGCACCTGGTGGTGGAATTTGCAAATCGCACTTTGTACCCACCAAAGAACGGTCTGTTTGCTCACGCTTGCACATCACAGGCTATCGGATTAATACCAATCGAGTTTGGTGACGTGGCTGCTCTAGGTGTGTTTCGGGTTAAGACAATGCAAAAATGTACTTTTTGAGGGGATTTGCAGGGGGTCACCTTCTTAATGCAATTTTTGAGACCGGGCAGACACGGTGAAGTGCCGTTTTTGTCTACACACACGTCGGAACGGTAAGTTAAGACGTCATTCGGGCGTAATTTCGCCACCCAAGAGCCAGTTTTACACAAAGCAGGCTGTCGCCGGTTGTTTATTTGTGTTCTGGACGCTCACACGCGCAACGCGTCATGTTCACACGCCAACGACGACATTCGAAAGAAGTCGTGTTAGTTGACACCGCTTGCTCACGTTATCCAACTCGAAATTGTAGAATGCTGGTATGTCGAAAGTTGCAGATGTTGAACTCGTTTCCGATCACGCCATCATCATCTCTGTCGTTGACCCCGCAAACTGGACGCCAATTAAGCAAGTTGGGTGTTGAAAGCACAAAATTTTGCGACTTGGTCTCATGTTTTTTTGTTGGAGAATTATCGGAGGCCAGGTATGGCTGAACACTGGACATCTCATTTGGTCGCAGATTCTGTTAAGTTGACGGTGTGAAAGAAACGCGCCATTGGTGCTACCTTCACAGCCCTACTAACTGTGAACCGCAGTGAATTGTTCCTCAACTCGACAGCCTTCCTTGCTGAACTCGGGATGAAGAGAAGAGGGTCAAAGGCGAACCCGTGCCTGCGTTGGACAGCCCCTGCAGCGCCGCGTGTCGTCGTTCGACATCTTTCCTCTGCTTCTTCTTCACCTCTTAACACAATGGTTAACCCAAGCGAGTGTGACTAATGCCGCAAGACGCTCGCGCACACAGACACGCATGCCTACACACCGCTATGCTGGTTGACGCAGCAGTTTGCACTTTTCTGGGCCATCTTTGTTTCGTCCGCAGGCTCCTGTTTTGATTGGTGTTTGACGGGCTTACTTTTTCTACCGCTGACCAATCACGTGATTCCATTCGAAGACTGGTTAAAAAGACGTGTTATTTTTCTCACAAATGTCGGGACAGCCTCAATTGTGTGTGTGTGTTCATTCAGACTGTTTCTGGGATGGTGGCGGCGGTGCGTGCGTATGTGTGTTTTCGGGCGCTTCTCGTCGGTTACGTGTGAAAATTGCGCCCCGTTTCGGTCCAATTTTTCGCAAACCGCCCACACACAGAGAGAGAAAGTGCGAAAAAGGCTGCATTCCATGTCAGCAGTGTCTACTTGTTACGCGTAGCCAAGTTTTCCTGGAAAATCGTACTGTCATACTTGTGTCTGACATTGAAAGTGGGCCTCCATCTCGAAGACATCTTTGTTGAAACCAACAAATTCGTGCGTTGCTAGGTTCCGCAGAACTGCTACCTCTGCTTCCAAGGGAACCCGATCATCATCGTGGCGTCAACTGGTATTCCTAAGGAGTGGGAGGTAGGGCCTTTAAAAGGGAGTGTATCAACAGCTTAAGTTAATCCCCATTCAGGTCAAAATTGCCCATCAATATCGTCGCATTTTCCAAATTTATGAATCCGCTTTTCCTGGGGCCGAAAATTGTCCTACATCCCGCCGAACGGTGGCAGAATTTTCCCTGCCAATGGCTAGCTAGTTAACAGTACAGTTGACCTTCGACGTTTAAAAGTACTTTTAGGAAGTTGTTGACCTAGGGTAGTGAGCAAAACATCCCGGTTACTCGCTAGCATTGACTTCTGCATTGCCACGCGTGGCCCAAATGTTTTCCCTCGGCAGGGCTTCACGAAACCATTTTCGAGTAGAGGAGGTGCAAGTGCGTAAGATAGCAGGGAGTGAATGACCTTGAACAAGTTGCCTGGCGACGAGACATGACGCATTTCGCCAGAGTTTGTCTTACTCCGATTGTTCCACCTACGGCAGCATCAGAATGGACGGATCCGCCTGCACTTGCCACTGGTCAACACTGGACAAAAGCCTTGTCGTCTTCGACGTGTTCCAAGTTTGACGGGCATTCCTAGTTCGCCACGACGTGTTCAGCGTTGGTCTGTGGTGATTGGTTCAGTTTAACTTGAAGTTATGTCAAACTGAAGCGGTCGTGGACACCGGTTTGCAAATCCTAAGATCTCGATAGGAAACAAGTTATAACAGTATTGTCTTACTACACCATGTTATCTCTTGCGTTTAAAGTCACCTCTAATTGACCAACCACAACTTTGGTCTACTCGATTTTAGTCTTAAGGCAATTTAAAGCTGTTACCCTCGCTTGACCGTTAAACATTTGACATGTAAGTGATGCTTTGAGCCTACATGAAAGTTAGCAATTACACCCAACTTATCTTGCCAACTTCGACTTTCAGGCACAAAGACCCCGTTCCTGCGATGCCCACAGCCCTTCCTCCACCAGTCGCTCCAAGTCCCTCCACCTACCGTGACGCCCTCTCTCGTCGCAAGTCCTCCTCCACCCACTTCAAGTCCTTCCGCAAATTCGGCTCCCTCTTCCGTCTTAACTCAACGAAGCTGGCTGATCCGCCGAACCCACCGCAGCAACAGACGGGGGAGGTCGGTGACGAGACAGATTCGTCCAACTTCTTCCAACAAGGCGAAGCTCTGGACGCCGAACGGGCTCGCACCTACAGT